GAGAGGGTGAAGCCAGAATGTTCCCTGGAGTCAAGGATTCTGAAGCTTCGTCTGACATACTTTGGGCATGTTGCAAGGAGGGACTGGTCCTTGGAGATGGACATCATGTTTGGGAGAGTGGAAGAACAGTGCAGAAGAGGAAGACCCTCTATGAGATGGATCACTTCTGTGGGTGGAGTGGTGGGAATGAATGTGTTTGAGACAGCTAGGTTGGCACAGGACAGAATGGCACTTAGGGCTCTTGTACATAGGGTCGCTATGAGTGGCAAATGACTCAATGGCACATAACAACAATAACAACAAATATATATGTTATTGTTGTTGTGTACCATTGAGTTGGAACTTACCTATAGCTGACCCTCCAGCAGGTTTTCAGAGGCAATAATCGTAGGAGAGGAGATTGCCCATCTTTCTCCCACAGATTTGAACCACATGCCTTCAGGATTGCAGCGCAGATTCTTACCACTGGGCCACCATAGCTCCCTTACCATATATATTGTTGTTGTAATGTGCCATTGAGTCACCTGTGACCCATATCGTTCCTATGCACATTAGCTCTAAATCTTAGCCAATCTCACTGTCTCTTACACACTACTTTCATTACCCAGTTATTGTGTCAATTCCTCTCATCCTGGGTCTTCCTTCTTACCCTGTATCTAGATTCATCCAAGCATTATTTCCTTCTCCAAAGACTGGTCCCTTCTGACAACATGCCCAAAGTATGTGAGACTGTGTCTTAAAACCCTTGCCTCCAAGGAAAAATTTGATTTAATCCTCTCTAAGACAGAGTTGTTATTAATCTTGGCTGTCCATGGTATGTTCAATACTCTTTTCCAGCATCACAACTCAAAGGCATCAGTTCTTCTGTCACCTTTGGTCATTTTCCAGCTCTCTGATGCATAGCAAATAATTGTGAAGACTATGGCCTGGATCTGGTTCACCTTAGTCTCTAAACTGACATTGTTGCTTCTCAGCACTCTGAGAAGGTGCTTGACAGCAGATTTTCCTAATGCAATTCATATATCGATTTCCTGACTGCTGGTGCCAATTGTGTTGGTTGAGGAACTGAGCAATCACAATCTCTTCTCCATCCACCAATTGGCCCAATGGGGAAAATCTTTGTTTTCATGATTTTGAGCTGATTTTTTAGAATTCTGAGCATTGCCTTTGATTTTCACTATGACTGGATAAAAAGATTCTAATAGGATGTGTAGAGTCCTACTGAAGGAATTGGTAAATTATATCATTCTTCCAGACTTACTAGGAGCCAATTTAGAGGCCATTGTTGTTGCTGTAATTATGTGCCAATGAGTCGTTTGCAACTCATAGCAACCCTATATACAACAGCCCTAAACCCTGCTCTATCCTGTGCCAATCGCACTGCTTCCAACACACCCAACCCGATCACCCCAGTCACTGAATCAATCCACCTCATAGAGGGTCTTCCCCTCCTGCGCTGTCCCTCCACCCTACCAAGCATGATGTCCCTCTCCAAG